TAAGACTTGTACATATGATGTATGCTCATCGGATGAGAATGTTGCTTTCCATCAACATTAAAGTGTGGACGCGAATGCATATATACGGGTGCTTGTTGGAGAACAAGTTCACTGAACATGACCCGATGAAAATTCTTAACTAGAAGTTTTAACTGTCGAATAAGAATTTTCATGTTGCAATAATACATGACTAATCCTATGACTTGAGGCAGGATAGTAATCTTGTGCATGTTGTGCTTTACTTTAATTTATCCTTTGATTGCTGGACAATCATAAAAGAGATATTTTAGGTACTGTATTAATATGTATGGAGGTTTTCTGTGGCCAAAAAAGAATTCGACACTTATGTGGATAAGTGAATTTCCTATTTTTTCATAGTTTGTGATTCAAAGACCTTGGTCAAGGCAGGATGAATATGGATTCATAAAGGAATCACTAAACTTGAAATGAAATCATAATTATTAAATCAATTGGGTTTCGACTTATAAATCCATGCTCAAGATTTAATCGGAAAATTAATTGTTGAAAGGATTTTACATGAATGCACTTGCAATTGAAAAGGTTTACTCGCTATTTTACTTAACACTAGATGATCATGCTACTTGTTAGATGTTACCATGATTTGTGGGTTCTTGAAATTAAGAAGTTAATTTCAAGAATATAAATTAATTAGATTAATTTAAATTACAAACAAGTTGTAAACCCACTACTAGTGTTAATTGTAAACATAAAAGGGTCACACCAAATTTTGGATGATGACTATTTTGAAATTGGTATTTCCGAAAGTTGGATTAATTGACAAAATTTAATTAAATAATTTGATTATTTAACTAAATCTAATTTTGATTAGATGTCAATTAAAGGAATAAAATAAATTAATCAATTGGATTGATTAATTAGGCTTTGGATATTAATTAAGTAATTATTGAAATTACTAAATTAATAGTTGGATTTTAAAATTAGATTTTAAAATTCAAATCCAAATAATAATATGATTATCAAAAGAGGAGATTTTATTATATTGGGAGACAAAGATATTTTAACAAATAATATTAAAAATATTTCATCAATTATTTGTTATTGTTAATCTTTAATTTAGATTAAATATTAATAAAAATAAAATAATTATGGTAGATGGGAGTTGTTACCCACTCTACATATTTATTTTTATTTTTATTATTAATAAATTTTGGTAAGAATAGTCTTGCCAAGACATCATTTTTATACGAAAATGGTTGTACCCAACATTATATTTTTTATACATAAACTTTTAGTATAAATACATATATATGTGATGTATGAATGTAATGAATTAAAGTCTTGCACTTTGAGAAAGTGAAGATAAGGAAAAATTATCTCTCCCATTCTTACAAGAATTGTTCTTGAAGAAAATAAATAAAAATATCCTCTTTTAAATTTCAATTCCAAATACCAATTGAATATCCTTGACTGTGGCAGAGCCCAACTTGTCAAGAATAATGGTAATATGTAAATAGTATCATATATTAATTTTACATATACATATATATATTGTTATATTCTTACCTTTCTGACCAGGTAGAGCGTTCGTGCTGATAACGTGTTATAAAACTAGAGAGAATTGAGACTATAGAGAATAGAGAAACTGTATTCTTTTCGGTGTGTTTTTCATTATAACTGAAGTCCCTATTTATAGAAAAACTTCTGATGGTACAATCGTAATAATACAATTACATCCGGGACAAAATAGTCATTCACATATATTAAAAAATTCTTCACGCGGTGCGCATGTACCTTTACAACAGCGCACTTTGTATTCACGGTAGGATTTATTTATTTATTCTCTCAAAGTCAATTCTGTCGTGTAAAATTAATATATGGTCCTCTTGTACACTACAGCTTTGCTTGTTCATAAAAAAATTAGAAAAAAAAAATCAAATTTCAATTTAAAATCTAATTCAACTTCATTTTTTTCATTATTATCAAAATAAGTAAATAGTATTATTCTATAATTTTTATACATCACATCAACTTTAATTCACCATTCATTCACTCACATAATTTTAAATATCTGTTATTTTTAATCATTTTCAATCATTTATCTACTACTTTTACATCAAATTAATTTTAATCATTTTATTTTAAATATTAATTTAATACATTCTTAACATCACACTAACAAGTAATCATATTAACTTTTTTCAAATAAACTCTAGTTAACACAAAAAATCATAAAAAACCAGTTTTTTTTTCTAGTTTTTCTTTTTTTATAAACAACCACGACCTACATTGTTGCACTGAATTATTTAAAGACTAGTTTGGTACTACTTTCTAATTTTATTTTTATCTTAAAGTTTAGTTCGTAGATATAATTTTTTAGGTAAATAAATGTGCGGTTGGTTTTCTGTTCAATCTTTCTCTTTCTTCGCGGAAGGAAAAAAACCTCATCCAAAAACCCTTTCTTTCAATTTCCGGCGCGCCTTCCCGCCACCGCACGCTCCGCTCCCCCGCGAGGATTGCTGACACTTGGATAGTCCCTATCTTTCTGCTTGGGTTCGATTCCAACCTCCGGCGTGGTGCTCTCCTTCTATGGGCGGCGTAGCCGAGCTTGGCTGTGAGCATAGGGGGACGAATCGGGTTGCCGACTCTTTTCGTCCACCGCACGCTCCGCTCCCCCGCGAGGATTGCTGACACTTGGGTAGTCCCTATCTTTCTGCTTGGGTTTGATTCCAACCTCCGGCGTGGTGCTCTCCTTCTATGGGCGGCGTAGCCGAGCTTGGCTGTGAGCATGGGGGGACGAATCGGGTTGCCGGCTCTTTTCGTCGACCTCTTGGCGGCTGGAGCTTCAGTTGGTTTTCTGTTTTCTTCCCTTGGACGTTGGTGTTTCTGGGTCGACAGTGTCCTTCGGTTGTGGCGAATTTCTTCTTTGGTCGAAATTGGTCGGGGCCGCCGGTGTGTGTTGGGGGAGGAGATGGGTGTCGGCCTCCGGGTGTTAATGTCTGAAGGTGGTCCGTTTGGAAGGAGGTCTTAGTTTCTGTCGGTTCAGAGTGAGTTAGCCTAAACCTGATGAGTTATGAAGTTTGAAGTTTCTTGTTTCAGGTCAGGGTTGTGTTCCTGTCTTTCTTGGATTGTCAACAATTGTGCTTCTTGCGGAAGAGGGTGAATGGTGTTGGACGGTTGTGATGAGGGCTTTACTGCATTGTATTATTTAGGTGTGTGTTGTTGTTGTTTAGTTTTTCGTTTCTAGTCTAGCTATGTCTGGTTCTAGTCTCCCTTGTAGAGTTATTTTGTCTCATTTTTTGAGTTCTTTTATTATGTGGTTGTTTGTACCTTCTTGATTGTCTGTGTAATTCCAAAAGGGGTAGATCTAGTCTTTGTGCTAGTTCTTTGGTGTCCATTAGCACATCAGATGTACTCTATTTTGAGTTTTTCAGTTTGTAATATAATTATTGTTTAATAAAAAACAATATAATTTTTTTAAATCACTCTCTTCCACCTATATTAAAATATCATAAACCTTTTAGTTTAAAAAATTTTCCTGAATTCATTTTAGTTTAGAACGGGTAGTACCTCTTTTGTAATGAATACAATATCTTTCATAAATTAAGGAATGCCTACATTATATAGAAACAATACATATTCTTTCAATGCCTAAGTTCATTCTAGTGCTTTAAATAGATCAATAAATACATGGCCCAACATGCTTTTGTAAAATTAAATAACATTATAATCCCGTATATTTGTTCTACTAAAATGACTCAGGGTGAGATGAGTTGCAACACTACTAGTAGGAAAGCACTGCCCATGGTTCGTTTTGCAGTCACTGTCCAATTTCAGTCGATCTCGGAAGATGAGCTACAAGTTATCCAATTCCTTCAAATACCACTCATTAGTTAGTTTTCTACTCCACGTAACTCGATTATGCAGATAAATGAAAATAATTACAACATATTGTGAATCAAAAATCTTTTTCTTTTGTTAATAACTCAAATAGAACTTATTACACAAGTAATCTCTTTAAGAAAGAACAAACCTTTTAGCCTCCCACAATGGAAGCAAATAAGCGTGCACGCATAAACTTGCAGAAAGAATTTTTTTTTTGAACACATTTCAGTCGTAACTCACAAACTTGAAAGAAAAAAATTAAAACTTATTTCACTCACAACTCACAATCTTATTACAAACTTTATTTGCAAAATGAGGAAATAAAATGGAATGCACGATGTCTTCTCTAGATCTCCTTTCGTATTTCCTATATTCTTAGGATTCGTACAATCGTACATATACTACCCGTCTCGCAGTCAACGTTAATATCGACTCGATAGATTTTCCTCTCAGTCTAGAAATATTCATCTTGTACATACTCGCTAACTGAGAACCCAAGTCGCTCAATCCAGGTTTGTCCACTCGACTTCCTGACATCTAGAAGCTTATGTCGACCAATCTGACCTATCACCATTAAGTCGAGCTAAGAGAACCCCGATCTAGATCGAGCTATAAGAGTTACATATTGTAGCAAATCTACTCATGATTTTTATGCTATGAATAAAAAGAGGATCGAGCTATAAGAGTTACATATTGTAGCAAATCTACTCATAATTTTTATGCTATGAATAAAAAGAGGGTGCATGGATGGGATTATGGGAAGATTCTAGATCAACATAAGGGCTAAAAAATGGAAAATAACAATGAGACACAGTACTCTACAAATCTTAACGAGTAGAAAGTGGAAGTTGTATAAAGGAAACGGAAAAACCTTACAAAATCCTGCGCTTTATTAGATTATTGAACTGATTACCCACGGAAAGGTACAGGAACATTTCTCCCAGATCGCACAATAAAATTACCAGATCGAAACCTTACTCCAAAAGCCGCTTCAACTCTCAGATCTTCCCCATTTTCATCAGCAAGCTTCTGCAGTTCATTCTCAGGATAACTTTTGAATTGGTCTGTAACTGAAACACTCTTTCCGACAGCCGCCATCCTTTATTGATAGTTATTGTATCAGAACTAGCATGAGAATGGCCCACAAAAAGGAGGAGCTCAGGTTGGAAAGGCGGAGCATAAGTGATGCCTTGCTATTGACGACGATGTGCATCATTGGGATGCCCGTCGACGTTCACGCCATTGATGACTCTGTTTACTCTGGAATCCTCCACACCGCCTGGGTCGACAAGGAGTATGGTATTCTTGGTTTTCTGTTGTCTGATTCGTCTTTACTTCCCGGTTGGATTAATTGATAGATCTTGCGAGGGTTTTTGCGATTCAATTTTTCTTTCCAATTTTTTTTTTAGGCGACGTGTGATCCCTGCCGGGGCCTGATCTTCGATATCACGGGGGTCAATNATAAGTTTATATTTGTGCTTTGGAAATAGATACCTGATTCCCGAGTTCCGGATCCCATTATTTTGGAACTAGTTTTGGTGTGCTTCGTGGTATGGTTTTAAAGAATTTCTTGATTTGATGTTGAATGGAGATTAAATTATTCATTGAGCTTCCTAATTTATTCGTTCTGGATCCCATTATTTTGGAACTAGTTTTGGTGTGCTTCGTGGTATGCTTTTAAAGAATTTCTTGATTTGATATTGAATGGAGATTAGAGTATTCATTGAGCTTCCAAATTTATTCGATCCCTGATATTTTCTTTAGGTGGTTATTATTTTCTGTGATTGATAAATTTTGTGTGTTTGTCTTAGCCATCGTGTTGAAGAAAGCCACGATGATCAAGAAAGGTGACCTAGATGCAAATGTGGTGAACGGGACTTTGATAGAGACCCTTGTAGTTCGTTCAAAAGATCTTGTCCAAGTGGTTGTGAAGGCAGGTGGCCTGTGCTCTCCTTGTTAAAATTAGGTTTTTGCCTTTATCATTATTGAGGTTTGGGAGAAACAAATATACATTTAACCCATTTTCATGATTTGCCTATTTCCAGGGAGCTGTGCTTCCTGCTTATGCCGAAGTGTTAAAATCGAATGAGCCCGAAGAGAAAACTGAGCACTTATATCAATTAAGGTAATATTGGTTTTGTTCCAATTTGTTCTAAAAGAAAGAGTCAAGCTTACATAGAGGGGCACAACTAGATGTTAGTAAAATGGTGAAAGTGGTTTTTGATAGAACAAAATAT